TTTTTTTTTCTTTTCTTTCTTCTTCGCTCGTCTCTCTTTTCTCTCTTTTCTCTCTCTCTCTTTTTCTTTTCTCGCTCGTATTCCTCATGTTCTTCTGTTCACCATTTACCCCCCGTCTCCATCTCTTGCCAGACATTTCTTCCAATTCCTCTTTTTGCTTTCCAGTTTCCCCCTCTTTGCAGCGTCCCCTCTCTTCCTTTCTTCTTTTTCCTCCTTTTAGAGAGTCTGCCTATACCCATTGATGATGATGTTCTCATGTGGGAATGCGTGCGAAGGTGAAGAGAGCTGTGGTGGCGGTCATGCGCAGCAGTGTGAAGGCGGCGCCGCGGTAGAGCCCGAGTGGTCCCTCCGTCCGCACAATGTGCCGCAGACAGTGGACGCTGGACGGGTAGCGGAGGTCCTCCTCCGTGGCGGCGATCATCACCCGCCGGCGGACGGTGTCGACGGGGTGCAGGCAGAGGGTCGAGAGGGCCGAGACGGTCAGGCCGGTGGCGACCTGCGCGGCGATGGTGGCGGGGCCGCTGCTGGGCGTCTCCGGGGGCACAAATGGGCCCACAAGTCCAAGCAGGAGATTATGCACCGACTGGTAGACCAGACTGCCCATCACGTAGAGTCCAAGTCCCTTGTAGAGAAGATGGGGGAACTCATTTAATACAGGGTGGGCAAAGAAGGCCATGCTGTTACGGTACTCGTAAGAGGCACCACGGAAGGGTTTGAGGTCTACGGCAAGTCGAAAACGTGCAAACTCCAGTGGATAAGATACCATAGAGGCTGCTAATGCTCCAGAGATAAGAGCCGCGTAGGAGGCGGTAGTATACCCTAACGCAGAGGAATGTGGAAAGAGATTAAATACAAACGCCTGTGTTGGAAGTCCAATAAATATCTGTGCAATCGTAATAGGAAGTAGGGAAACCACCTGAATTAGATTTCCACGCCAGAAACTACGGTACCCCTCCACAGTAGCAATATGACGGGCACAGTGCCATGCCCCACGAAATGTTCCCTCTAATGTTCCTAACCGCTGCAATTCCTTTTGACACTGTAGAATAAACTTTACACGGTCAAGCGGTGCTATTATGGTGCGGCCTACAGTCTTTCCCAGCCAAAGCAAATGAATATTTTCAATGGAGACGTAGTACTCGTCTGGTACTACGGTAGAATCTGAAGCAGCAGCAGCAGAAGCATCACTAACCAATTCTTCATCTACGAGCCTCCCCTCCCGTGACGTATCGGAAGAACTGGTATTCCCCATGCGGTTTGCCTCACTAAAACAAAACGACGACGACGACGACTAAAAATAAATAATATATATGTAACAAAGGGCTCTCCCCCAAATATTTTTTTCTGCTTTTTTTTTCTTGTTCCACCGTATCTTTTTCTTTTTTTTCTTTTCGTTTTCTCAATCAATCACTTCCTTCTCAGATTGATTTTCCTTTTTTTTTTTTTTTTTTTTGCCCCTCCACAGCAGAGAGGTCACACACCTTCACTTAAAGAAACACACACGCAGAGCACTACTGGGTTCGTCAGTTGCTGTCTTTGTTCTTGTTGATATTCTTCTTGTTGACGTTGATGTTCTTGTTGTTATTGTTATGGTTGTCGCGCTCGCCCTATTAACCCGCAATCGATAACGAGAAAGCCTATCTAACGCTCTGTGGCCACACACACACGTGCACAGAAGGATAGATAGAAAAAGAAAGAGGAAAAAAAAAAACAGAAATAGAACAGTAGGTCTACCTCTTCTTTTTTTTTTTTTTTTGACTGGTCCCTCTCCTCCTTCTTTTTCTTCTTTTTTGCTATATATTTCTGTATGAGTGTATGAGTGCCCGTTTACAGGAGGAAAGTTGATGAAACGAGTGCAGAACAAACGCGTGCAATAAAAACCACACGAATATATATATATATAAAAAAAACAGAAAAGCGAAATCAAAAGGTAAAGATAAAAAGGGATAGAGCAGCACAAGAGCACTAACACTCACACCGGCGCCGTGCGCCTTTTAGTACCGCTCTTTCTTTTGTTTGTTTTCCTTTTTCTTGATTTGTTTGCCTTTCCCTTTTTGCTATTTGCACTTTTCTTGTTGCTTTTTCTCTCGTCCCTGGCGGTTCCCTACCTACAGAGAAGAAGACAACTACAAAGAGAAAAGAAATAGAGATAAGAAAGAAAAAAGATGAGGAGAAAAAGAAATAGTAAAGGGTTTTCAGAGACGTATGAACAGTACAGAGAGAGAGAGAGAGAGAATCTGGAGCAAGGCAGCAGAGCAGAGAAAAAAAAAAAAAAAGAAAATCATATTCATTTTGAGCATGTACAGCGGAGCTCCATAACAGATATACACAAGTTCACATATGTATCCTATTATACATAAATATATTATATATAATATTAATTACACTAGTCAGAAAAATCTGATTGATCCATTTTTTTCTTTTGACTGTTGTATTCATGTATAGTCTACCTAGAGTTCGCCAGAAATTCAAATTCGCCAGCGGAAAAAAAAGCACCTTCCACTGGAGGAAAGAGAACATGAAAGCAAATGATTAAAGAAAATCACCAAATTAAAAGGAAACCTCTACACAACAAGTATACGCAAACATAAGCAACTTTAGGTAAGCGAAAACAGAAGCATTGAATATAGAGACAGGTAAATATAGTCTAAGTACGCATATATAGATATATGTATATGTACAATATGTATACGGATGGGCAATCTGTGTTATTCAATACAAAGAGCAGGGCAATACCACATGAAAGGCTTGTATCGAAAAAAAAAGAGCCTGAAAATAGTGCGTGTACAACAAAGCAAGAAAAAAAGGCGAGCACACATACTAATACAAGCAGAAGGCAAAAACGAAAAAAAAAAAAAAAGCCTTACTATTAGGTATATTAATGTATTATCCCTGAACTCATTTTACAAGAGAAATTGCCTAAGAAGAAGAATAATAAAAAAAAGAGAAACTCTTCTTATTTTTTTTTTTTTCACTTATTTTATGGGTGTCGCTTCTTGTAGATTAATACAAAAACCAATACTACTATTACCAAAACGAATATACCCAAAAGTGATAAGAAGCATCGGTCACCTGCCAACTGCCTATAGAACCACTTTAAATCACGTGTTGCTCGATCAAGTTGTCCTTGCAAATTCTCTAATTCCTCATCAATGTGGTACATTTGCTCTGTCTGTCTTCGCAATGTTGTCAGTGTATCTCTACCAGTTTCCTCTGTCACATGTTGCAGTCGTTCAGCTCGCTCTAATGAGAGCAGTGCGTCCTTCTGAACATTAACGGCCGCCTGTAAGACCTCCTGGGAATCTCGATATCCTGCTCCAGTAGCCCCACCAGTCCCTAACAGTTCCTCCTCCCTTCGTTCCGTGTATGTCTTTGGCCGAGGTGATAGTCGTTGGGGGTAAATCTGCCGCTTCATCTCCGCATCAAGGGCGCGGACCTTTTCATCGGCATCACGACAAATACCATCATATAATGTGCGTGTGCCGGGATCCTGTGTACGCCGCACCTCTGCACGTAGTGTACTCACCTTACTACGAGCATCTCGCATAAATGGTCGCGCCGCCATCTCTGCTGATTTCTTCTCTTGAATTGTATCAGCTATTACAACAGCCTCCGTTGCCTTGGAGAGCTGCTCCAGTGCCGCACGGACATCATCTGCTAATCCAGCGAGAACACTAGTCATTTTCTACTAAATTATATGAGAATTCTTATTCTTCTTTTTTTTTTCTTTACCTCAATTGTGAATTTTTCAACTTTTTCCTCGATGATACGTTTATATGTGTTTCTCTTCTTGCCTGTACTTCAGCTAATTTGATATTGCCTTCCCACCTCTCTTTTCGCCTTACCCCTTTTCTCGTGGATACTGAGCACACACACCACTCTGAGGGTAGGTAGAGGAGACGGCGGGGAACGCTACCGCAAAGAAGAGAAAAGGGGTGCTTGTCCAAACCAGCATAAACGATTACCAAAAACAGGTAGAAAAAAAAAAAAGAAAGCAAAAAAAAAAAATAATAATAATAAACACCAGTATTATCTTCAAGAACCATTAAAAAAGTTTGACAAGAAAAGAAAAAATCTTCATCTCGCAATGCAAAAGACACAAGATGTAGTTTATTTTTCGTTTAAAAAATAATTAAACTAAGACGAGAGAAAGAAAGAAAAGAACGGAATGACTTATGCCACAACAGCGGCAGCGTCCTTTCCAGCGTTGCGACCGCGCTTCTTGCGAAGCTCGGCGCGGGAGCGCAGAGAGAGCTGCAGACCTCCCCACTGGCGGCGAATGACATCACTGCGGGCCAGGAAGCGGGCGTTCACGGAGCGGATCAGGTTCTTCAGAGCTGCTTCGTCCTCTGCGTTCACATCAGTGATCGCCACACATGCGGCCGTCTTCTGGCCAATTGTGTCACCAAGGCGTGCCTTGTCCTTCACAATGGCGTATGGGATCTTGTTGGCACGGCAAAGTGTGGGCATCCACAGCACCAGCTCGATGGGGTCCACATTGTTGGCAATCACCACAAGGCGGGCGGTCTTCTTCTCAATGGTGCGGGTCACCTCCTGAAGTCCAGAGACAACGCTGAGAGGAGCCTTTGTCGAGACGGTCTTCTTTGGGTTGTTCTTCTTCTCCTCCGCGACCTTTGCCAGGCGCTCCTTGCGGGCCTTGCGGGTCTCAGGAGCGTACTTCTTCACCAACTTCAGGAGCTCGTTGCGGCTGGAGCGGTCGAGCACCTTTGTGAACTGGTGGAGCGCTGGTGGCACCTTCAGGCGGCGCTGCAGCACACGCTTCTTGCGCTGCATCGTCACGAACGTGGGCCACCGCATGAAGCGTGAGAGATCGCGGGAGTATGGGACATCGTGGCCAATACCGAAGTTCTTTGGGCGAGCCACGAAAGGTGAGGGCGCTGTGGCCTTCTCCTTCTTGTAGGGGGCTGCCGCCTTTGCGGCGGGCTTCGTGGCCTTCGTGGTCTTCTTCACTTCCTTGCCGGGCATCTTTCTTCACTCCGCTGCAAATAGGTAAGCACGCAAGGAAGAAGAGAAAAAAAAAGTAAAAAAAAAAAGAAACGGGAAAGACAAACGAAGTAGCGGATTGTATGGCAAAAGAGAGAGAAGCAAAGGAAATCATGTTATCCCACACGAAGAAATCAAAAAAAAAAAGAAAAAAAAAAGGAAAATACTCAATAGAGGTAAAATGAAACAGAAAAAAAGAAAAAGAGCGCATGAAAAATCTTCAAAGGTACAAAGTCCTTATGCGACAACAGCAGCAGCGTCCTTTCCAGCGTTGCGACCGCGCTTCTTGCGAAGCTCGGCGCGGGAGCGCAGAGAGAGCTGCAGACCTCCCCACTGGCGGCGAATGACATCACTGCGGGCCAGGAAGCGGGCGTTCACGGAGCGGATCAGGTTCTTCAGAGCTGCTTCGTCCTCTGCGTTCACATCAGTGATCGCCACACATGCGGCCGTCTTCTGGCCAATTGTGTCACCAAGGCGTGCCTTGTCCTTCACAATGGCGTATGGGATCTTGTTGGCACGGCAAAGTGTGGGCATCCACAGCACCAGCTCGATGGGGTCCACATTGTTGGCAATCACCACAAGGCGGGCGGTCTTCTTCTCAATGGTGCGGGTCACCTCCTGAAGTCCAGAGACAACGCTGAGAGGAGCCTTTGTCGAGACGGTCTTCTTTGGGTTGTTCTTCTTCTCCTCCGCGACCTTTGCCAGGCGCTCCTTGCGGGCCTTGCGGGTCTCAGGAGCGTACTTCTTCACCAACTTCAGGAGCTCGTTGCGGCTGGAGCGGTCGAGCACCTTTGTGAACTGGTGGAGCGCTGGTGGCACCTTCAGGCGGCGCTGCAGCACACGCTTCTTGCGCTGCATCGTCACGAACGTGGGCCACCGCATGAAGCGTGAGAGATCGCGGGAGTATGGGACATCGTGGCCAATACCGAAGTTCTTTGGGCGAGCCACGAAAGGTGAGGGCGCTGTGGCCTTCTCCTTCTTGTAGGGGGCTGCCGCCTTTGCGGCGGGCTTCGTGGCCTTCGTGGTCTTCTTCACTTCCTTGCCGGGCATCGTAATATGCGCTACTGCAATAATGTGAGTGAAGCGAAAGCAAAAGATTAAAAAAAAAAAAAAAAAAATTTAAAGGAGAAAAAGAAAAAAAATATAAATTAATAAATGAATTAATTCCAAAAAGAATGGGTACAGTGTAGATGGAATCCGATCTCAATAGAAAATTGTACAAAAAAAAAAGCAATGAGGAATCCTTTTTATTTCTTTTTTTTTTTTGTTTTTTGGTTCAGAAGCGCACTTCTCTCTCTGAGATGCTATCCCCCTTCTTCCCCATGATAATATTCGCTTTCATTCTTCTCATTCTGCTGTCCATGTATTTCTTCCTGGTGCCGTACTTTTTTGCTTTTCTCAGTTTTTGTTTTTGTTTTTGTTTTTTTGTACTGCTGTCCCCTCTCTTACCCGTCAATGATCTCTACTTTTCGTTTCGCTGCATGTAATAACCGAAGGACATCCTATTTCGCTTTCCTCGTCGTATGAATTCCTCTGCCTTTCGGAAAAACTCAAACATCCATTCCCCAAAGAAATGCCACCATATCCACCAAAGGAAGGTAAACCAGTGGTACCAGAGATTCATGAGGGAAAGAGAGGAAAGGAGTCAGGTAGAACTTGCTCGTTTTGGGTGCGTGTTACTGTAATTGTGATTATAAACTGTATTGGCTGATATCAAACGCATAGTACGGTTTTCAAAGGATGGGGTTCCAATATCACCGCTAGTTCCACCACTACCACTAATAACAAGAGCACCAGTAGAGTGACGAAATTTTTTTTCAACATCCCTTTCTATTTTTCGTTTTTCTCGTTCAAGGAAGTAGTGAAAAAGACGCCTAAACGTTGATTGTGTATCTTTCCCATCGTCGTAACTATGTTCATCATAATCATAATCATAATCATATGCATCACTATCACTAAATTTCATTGGTGCTGCAATATTGTTATCATTATCGTCCGCACGAACTTTATTGCTACGTTTCCCCTTATTTATCTGCTGTTTCCAAGAAATAGGGGGAGTACTTGAAGATGGAAGGCTTGCGACACCGCAAAAAGTTCTCTCTTCATCACTGCATGAGAACTTATACTTTGCCTCTAAAGAGGTTTTATTTCGCCGTTGTAATTCAGCTCGAATATATTGTTCTTCCTCTTGCTTGTCAGGGTGAAAGAAGAACAGTTCTTGGGTGTTGATATTCATAAAGCGTACTACCCCAGCGGTGGTACGATATAGAACCCAGCCATCAGGAATAGGGTCTACAAGGAGCATCTCTTCTACCATAACTAGAAGGTCATCATCGCGTGGGGAACGAATACCTAGACTTCGGCGAAACTCCTCAATATCTAACATTGAAAGTGTTGTGCTATCTTCACTATTGTTACCATTATTACTATTGGTGTTGCTGATACCGCTGTTGTCGTTGTCATTGTTACTACCGTTTTTGTTCATATTCCTATAACTGTTATTATCATCATCCTCATCATCTTCCACGATAGTAAAAGAGCTACATGGGGGTGGAATACCATTGTGTAAGTGTCCTAATGCCCTATATTTCCGCTCTGCTCTTCTTCGTGCGGTGCGACGCCACTTTGCAATAAAGAGACGTAAACGCATAGTTAGAATATATGTTGTAATGCAGGCCCCCGCACTTACAAAAGGAAGCCAGTACGGTACAGCTTGCAATAGTGCCCGGCCTGCATCAGAGAGCGTCTCTGCCGCGTAGAGATCACGTTTAAATTGCTGCAGCGAGACTATAGAGAGTGCCATGGGAAGAAGAAAAGTAAAAAAAAAAAAAAAAAAACTACAAAGGTATATGGAATCCGTAAGGGAGTGAAACGCGCGGGTGTCACAGAAACACACGCACACCCACACTAACACTTCGAGAAGAAAAAAAAAAGAGGAGGAGGAGGAGGAGGAGAGAGGGAGTGAGAGAGTGAGAGAGAAATAAAAGAAAAGAAAAAAGAAAAGAAGAAAAAAATTAAATCACAGAGAGACTCAAGAGCAATAAAAATCCTGCAAGACGTAAATAAACAACAAGCAAAGAAATATGAAAAGAATAAGAATAATAATAAATGAAACGAAAAGATGCAACAGTTCAAATAAAGAAGAAAAAAAAAAAAAAACTCTCGCTATTGTACATATAAGAATTATGTGTCATCGCTCAAAAATTACACATGAAGCATATACTGTTGTTGTTGGTTTTGTTGTCGTTGTTGTTGTTGTTCTTTTCTTTTTTTTTTTTTATTATTTTATGAAAGTATAACGAAATAACCAGAACTATCATTTAACGAAGACATGGATGAGTCATCTGCAGTTTTTAATGAATCTCTTATGGCTGATGCGCCATCACCACTTACTACGGACTGTCGTCCTCCTAGTGAAGAAACACTCTCTCTTTGTAGGTCACTTTCTCCCATCAAAACAGCACAAAATGGTAATTCAAAAAGAAAACGCCATTCAGGTATTTCGGATTGCAATGAAGCTTCTGGTTTTGAACAAATGACTGGAAGTGCACAGGATGGTTGCATTTCCAAAACACTAGGAAATAGTTTCTCCGTCATTTCTGTTAAGAATACAATACTGGGTTTATGTTTACCTGCTGTTCTGTATGGATTAAGTCGTCGTTCACTGGTTCGCACCTCCCAGAGGACATCATGCGACTCTCCCAGATTATCCTTTTCAGACATTTTTTGAAATCGAACTGCAATAACAACATCTTCTTCACTATGGACAGCATGAGGTTCCTTTCGCCATGCAAGATCTGATTCCTTCCAGTTTGTACGGGAGAGTATTTCATATTCCAACAACATAGAAAGTGCTGCTCCAGAAAGAACAATATCATCATGAAGAAGATTACATCGTCGTAACATAACCAACATCATTTCAACTCGACTAAATGGATCCACTTTTCGATTTACAGCTTGGGCTAAAAATGCATATAAAAACAATCGTGGATGTTGAAGTGCAGGTAACCATACCGATAAAGGTTCTCCAGGAATCCAAGAAGCAAGTCGAGTCATATTATCCCGTAGACGTGAAGAAAACGCCGTATGTCCTGCTTTATTAAATGCAGTAACAATATCACGAAAGTGCTCCATTTCCCATAGAAATATTAATTGAATCGTCTCTCCAACTGGAGAAAATTCATTAGTAGCATCATCTTCGGTTTGAGTCTTACCAGTGTCATCACCATCAATAACAATAGCAGAATCTGAAAGAGATAAATTTAACGTATTCTTATTTACAGAATCTTCTCTGGAAATAACCTTATTTGTTATTAAATATTCTTTTAATCCAGATTTTCCATAAAGAAGACCATGTAGATACTCATGTAATCGTTTACGATAGGCTTCTACAGCACCTTCATCTGTGCAAAGTCCAAGAAAATCATCATTACACTGTTTAAGCTCTGTTACGAGTGCAGTTCCTGTTAATCCAGCTCTTACCGCCTCATCAATAGTAGGATTACAACTCATGGGTAATGTATCATCAGAGACATGTGAAAATGATCGGTGTCGAAGAATTTCTGAACATGGTAATTGATATCGTGTGGCATTCATACGTGCAGAGTAAACACCATAGGCAATCTTTGCACAGAGACTTCCAACTCGTTCGGTTTGTTGTCGTAAGAGAGTGAAATTATCCACTACATCGGCAACGGACATTCTTTGACCTGGTTGAGTAGAGCCATGCCGTGATCGAGCCCGTTGGTGTGTTACTATTGTTTGTGAAGATCCACTTCTACTTCGATCACTTCGTAGTAAGAGTGCCATCATACGAAGGATAATAGTAAGATCTTCATCATCCACCATGCACTGATAAATATTAGAAAAAATACCATCAAAACCTTCAAAACCCCAAAGGGTTTGTAAAATATTTTCTCCACTCACAAGACCAACATGGGATTCAATAATATTAGAAATGGCAACAGTGGACAGTGTACGAATACTTTGTCTTTTAGATACACTACTTTTCCTTTCTCCAGCATAGAAGATATTATTAATACCTTCCAATTTAAGTGTCATTCCCTCTCTTTTCCATGGTAAAAAGAATTTATCATCCTCAAGTAAAGAAAAGAGATGATACCTTGGAAAGGAGGTTTCTGCTGTTAAGGTAAAACACCACTGTTGAAGTATTTGAATACATTTACTATGTTTATTCCGTGATGAACTCTTTACCCCACAACATAGAAATACTGGAAAACGAGATATATTTCCACTCCGTATATGAGCACGTATCCCATGAGAAGAATATCGTGAAAGTTGTAAAGATAAATGTTGTGTGAAAACTTCTTCTTCCGAGGTATTAACAGGAGGCACAAGCATAACCATAATAGAATGTCCACGTCCTTGATTAACAGGTCTATTACCAAAACATTCAGAAATTACTTTCATAAGTTGATCTATTTCTTCAATAGAAGAGATCCTATAAAATTGATAGGACAATTTACTCATTTTAGCATATCGTTCAAAGTGTTTCACTGCACCATAAATATCTACAGATTGTAAACAAAATGGAACACAATAATTTAAACCAAACACAACACACTCTTCAACAGAGTGAACAATAGCTGGGACATGACTTACATAATCATACAACATGGGTACTTCATCCTCTCCTTCATGATTTTGTTCTTTTACGGCAAACATAAACACATCATAAAAGTGTGAGGCAATTAATTCACATGTTGAGTAGTTTAAATGCATCCAACTGGTAAAGAAACTTTTAAGAAGTCCTTCCGCTCCTCCTCCAATCTCTCCTTCGATAAACCCATGCTTAGTCTCTAGAGGACTAGCATTAACACTAGCATTAGCACTAGCACTACCTTCATGTATGTTGTGATCACCACTTCTTGCTAGACTTTTAAGTAATGGATCGGATGAGGATGAATAGAGTTGATTTATATAATCTTCATCCATTACTTTATCATTTCTATTCATTAGGGAATCCAATACCATATACTGCTCATGATTTAGTAATAGTGTGGAAGAAGAATACAATTCGCCTCGTAGGTCTAAAAATATTTCACAATCATTTATTACACTAGAAAGAACATACCAAGCAAAAATTCCACGTAATTCAAGTGGCCAACCACAAGCTAAAACTTGTATAGTTCTTTCAATAAAATTAGCCGTTACAAAAAATTCTCTGTGAAGTTCTGGAAGAGCATCCAATGTATTGGGAGAAATACGCCATTGGTATGGTTTAGATAAAGTAGTAGCACTTGTTATGAGGGATTCCAATTTATGTGGATCCCAGTTTCTACCAAGAATAGTAGATTCAATAACTCTTACTGCTCGTTCAATAGAATCCAAAGCTAATACAAACGATCTCCATGATTTTTGTACAACTCTAATCGAACTTTGTTGTTGTGCAGATAAATGTGAAATAGCGGTATGTTGGGTATGTAGATCTGCAATAAGTATATCCAATTCTTCAATTTCTCCCTCTTTATTTGCCGCTAATTCATCAATATCTTTACAAAGTATCTCATACACATCATATAAAGTATCACGAAAATTCCAGAGGGCGTTTGTATGATCTTTTGACATGGCAAAAATATCATTTGTTTCTGAACTATTATTACTTGAACCTGGACTTAAGAAGAAAGTTCCATGTAAAAAATTATTTACATCTTCATTAAAATGAAAATTCATAACCGTAATAAATCGTGAAGCTGTATGATTTACATCATGAGAAGGAACAACTACAGGAGATACCGCAACAAGATAAAAAGATGGTTTGACTTCCACATTTTTTCCAAATAGAGAACAATGTACGGGTTTTTTATGAATTTGTGCTTCTCGTAGTTTTGAACGAAGTTGAAGTAAGGTATAGAATTTCTCTAACATAAACGAAATAGAAGCATCGCATATTAACAAACCTGTTCCATCCTTTGCCGCATCTAAAACACTTTCCGCAATATTATTATCTAATGCAGATATCACAATACAATCCCCACACATAATTTTAAGAGAATGTTTAATAAATCTTTCAAAGACTGGAGTAACACCACCAAAGAAAGGCCAGTGATAGTAAACTCTTCCTAATAATCCACCTAAACATAATCTTCCTTGTTTGAAAAAACGTTCTACAAGTGAAATATCAAGAATTTCACTTATACTAGGAAATAAACGAAATATAACAGAATCATCAACACCTACTGGTGTTTCAATACCCCATTTATTAAGTAAAGATTCTACTTGATAGAGGTGCTTGTCTCGATCCTTTTCTGAAAGCATTCCAAACAATGCGTACTGAGCTGCAATAATGATAACAATACCTTCTCCTTTTTCATATCCCAATGTACCTGTTTTTGTTCCTTCCAAATAATGAAAAAGGTTAAATCTATCTACAATATCCAAGAGTTGAACAATTCCTTCTTGACGTCTCTTTAAATCTTCAATCGTCGTCTCCAAGTATCCACATCTTTGGGTTAAAGAAGTTACTTCATTACGGGCATCATTCATCTTTTTTCGGGCTTTATCATCTCGTTCTTGTGCGGCATCTACTTTACTTCGGATATTAGAGTATTTAAGTCGTGTCTTATTTAGACGTAATTGTATCTCACGAGATTCCTCTCCAACACGGGTGGCCTCCATAAGTGCATTAATGTATTCCACAAGTATATTCGCAAATGGTGATAATTCACCATAACGTACCTCACGTAAAGAAGAATGAAATGGTAATAGAGTTTCATAGGTAAAACTACTAGGTGATACTGCCACTAATCGTACAATAAATTTTGGAGCTGTAATAATAGATTTTCCAAACTCCCATGTTTCCTTTGGACTTCCAATATGTACTTCTTCTCCAAGTATTTTACATAAAGCCTTTACAAAGGAAGTTCCTTTAGGTAAAGGTGGAGTTGCACTAAATTGTTTAATTTGTGAAACTTTTGTGGAAACAAGACGTGAGGCTGCACTATTTAATGTCGCAGCGGTATGTCCAGTCATTGTTTGTAAGTTATCTTCTTCTTTTATAATAAGTTCTTCTATTCGTTTAGCCTCTTCTCGAAGGCGATTGGCTAAACCTTGATAACGTAATGACCGTTTTTCTTCTTTTTCCAGACGTTTATTAAAAAATTCAATCTCTTGCAGTACAGATTCCCTTGTTGTGATGGCATTTTGTAAATTCTCTTCATATTTCTTTTTTTGATCCACAATAATAGTAGGTAAATCACTCACATGTTGGAATTGAGCAGCATGACGACGAACCCTTCTCCAATAATAACGAAGTCTTTGAGCTTGGAATCCAAATTCCATTAAGTGTTCTACATGGATATGAACATGTATTTTCATAGCATCAAAAATATCACAGAGAATATTTGCAAAAGGACGTCCAAAAAACTCTACTGGATATGGTAAGGTATCGCATTCACTAATACTTTTCTCAAATCCTTTACCAGTATCTGCTTGTATTACAGATTTATTTTCTTCTTCACTTTGAAATAATACATTCATAAGTTCTCTCACCATATCGGATGCATGTAATTCTACAGGCAAAACAGTAGGAAAAAAAGGAAGTTCACTTTCTAAACGTTTCAATTCTTCATAATTTAATACGTGAGTCACAATACTTAAACGTGTACAAATACGTTGATGAACTTCATTTTGCTCAGCTGATGTTAAACGAGCAGATCCACGACGAATTCCTCGTCTTCCATGTAAAAGCATAAGTTGTTCTTCAAATGTAAAAAGGTTATCTACATTACCTCCTCGTATAATGACATCTAAAGAAGCCATAGGCCATTTAAGACTCAATAAACTATTAGGTACGAATAGTACCATTCTACTGTCATTTCTACACGTATGTTGTAAGATCTCAACAAGGTCGTTTTTAAAATTTTCTTTGGCATTCACCCCAGTATAGTTATCACGAAGAAAAGATACGTAACAGTGTACTCCATTTCCCCAGACAGATAAGGCTCGATCAATACCAGTATTATAAGGTCCAATAAGCGCAATATGTGTTTGTTGTTGTCGTAAACATTGATGAAGAGTATAAATCAGTTGTGTAATCCAATTTAATGCATAAACCGTTTTTGCAGCTCGTGGAGTTGTAGTATTGGTATTAGTGGTTGTGGTGTTTATTCCTGTTTCTACTCCTGTTGTTCTTCTTTTTGTTGTCATAGTAGTAGTATTAGTAGTAATTGTAGTAGTAGTAGTTGTTGTTGTTGTTGCTGTTTCATGTGTCATCATACGTGATCTTCGTTTTTGTCCATTCAACGGAGCCACAATAACACTTACATTGTAATTACTAAGAAAAGGATCTTCAATTCCACTAGATGCCAATGCCGCATCATAAGCACGTATCCAATCTTGAACCTTGGCTATCGTACAAGGAGGTAAATCATTCATATCATACATTTCCAATGCTGTTTCAGTGTAAACTTTCTCAAATGAAAAAGAATCAGAGTCAATAGATTTCTTAAGTGTTTTATCAGCAGTTTCTTGTAACTCTCGTAGCAATTCATTCCGTTTATCATCATCTGTATTAACGATTGCTGTGTAAAGTTCTTGTACAGAGACGTAAATATTCTTTAAGGCTGTAGTATCATCTAAGGAACTGGTAAGAAAATGTATTGCTCGATCCGATACCTTTAAAAATAAATGTTTATACGATAGATGGAGTTCACTATACATGTTCACAACTGAAAAACGACTACCACGAGAATTCCTATTTATTATTTCTTTTTTACTTTCTTTTACCATTTCACTACTTGGTTGTTTCATTTCCTCATCTACAACTTTCTTTTCTCGATTTCCAGTCATAAGACGTAGTGCGGTAGCTTGAGCAGATGCAAGAAATGAAGTTACATCCTTTAAAAGATTTGCCCCTCGTCGTGTCAAGCAAATTAATTCAAAAAGACTTTGTACTCCATCTATTAACTCAGAATCCTCAAGATCAGGTAATCTTAATCGTATTACACAATTTTCCTCACCTGGTTCATAGGATGAAGTTGGTGTGCTTACACCCACGCAGACAAGATCGGTGATAGGCACATACCCAAAAGATGGTAAACACATAGCAGAAAAACGATCAATAAATGAAAAAAGAGTCATAAATTGTGAATATTTAGCTTCTACAGGAAGATGAACATCATCAACACATAATACCAATTTTCGACCTACGGAAGGTCCATAAATTTTAGACTGACGTAGTGCCATATTTTGAAAAAGTGCTTCCTGTACTTCCACAGCTTTACATTCGGCGTTATTGTAAACCATATGATGGGTCCATCTTTTATTACTTTGCATATGATGCAAGATTGTTGTCTTTCCTTGATCTTTATTACCAACAAGAAGTATTGACTGTCCAGCATTCATTAAATACTCCAAAGTGGTTAAGGTCATTTGACGTGAGGGAAAAGAAAAAAACTGTGACCAGGCACGATTATTAATATTCAAATCAGATACCTCTTGAGCCCATGTTATAGGGAATCCAGATTCTGCTGCAGCACTACCAAATTTTCTCCATCCCGCAGGTGTCGCAATGTATAATAAGAAATCACTTTCCAATGGTGGAAGTACATCTTCAGTAAATCCAATCTCTTTCGCCACCCGATTTAGTTTTGATTGGACTTTTTCTAAAGATATACGTAACATCACACGTTCTTCTCCTTGTAAGCGTAATCCAAGTGTCCAACAAGTAGCAAATACAGCACATTGTAGCGCAAAAGCCTGTTCACTAACCCATTCCTCACGATTTCCACACTGTGATCGAGCATATACATACCATCTTTTATAAAATTGAGAACAACGAGAAGCTACAGCATATCGATTTTCATATGGAATAGTTGATGGATTATATGCTAATCGGGCATCAAAGATAAAATCAATCAAAACTGAAAATACAGAATAGGCAATACTAGCATAATAATTAGGTGTAGTTTGAAGAATTTCCTTTAAAAACGCTCTCCAACTAGAAGGCTCTGGTAACGCAAAAACAGCAAAATCAGTCACTATACGAGGATTAGCAGAATCCAGAAAAGGTGTTACCGTAATTAGACGAGTTTTAGGTCCTTTCACAAAATCTGGTCCTGAGTACGGTCGTATTCTTACAAAAGCAGGAGCATCAAAAATAATAGATGGATTTAAGATATTTGAATTTTCTATAATAATAGTATGATTTACCATTGGATCCCATTTTCTTGATAGGGAACTAAGTAGTCCAGGTTGAGAAGCATCTCCATAGATATCTGCACAAGAAATAAGACGAAAAGGTAATACAATATGATGTATATTACCATTCCATTCCTTCCATAGTCTCATTTTTCCAGAATAAGCTGGTCCAACAAGAATAACATTTAAATTAAAAGTCATAAAATTAGTAAACCTTCTCAAACGAACATCAAAACTTGATTTTGCCATAACTTGTTCTAATGCATCATCCCAAAAATCTTGGGAAATATTAAACGTTTGAATCATATTCCATTCTAAAAGTTTTTTTAAATTATTATTAATTTGAATTACTTCCAAAAATTGACGTAAAAATGACATACAAAGATGTTCTTCCAATCTTCCAGTCTGACAATCACTTACATCTTGCATAACAGGAATAAAACTTTTAATAGTAAAAATACTTGGTGATAACTCCATAAATTGAAGATAAACAGTTGCCAATTTTTTACCAACTGTCATCCATCGTGAAAATCCAAGTGCTTGAAGAGTTCCTTGTGCAAGAACAGTAAGATCTACAGGTAATAAATAAATAGGCCTAAAAGCAAGTGAAAGAGTTGTTGGAATCTCCTCTAATTTATGTGTAGTAAAAACACCTTGGAAACAAGAATCTTTCCTTACATTTATGCTAGTTCCATTAGATTCAAAATTTATTCTAAAATCATCTTCAGAATTTTCCTTTTCAGACTGACATGCCTCCTCAATGGTTTTAAAAAGTTCTGTAATTGGTTTAACAAGACTTAAATCAAGAAGTTCAATGTCTTTTAAACAAAAGACGGCACCAACGCTTAGAGCTCCACGTACTCCACGTGTAACCCCATCTAAAGTAAGAGCAGAATTACATTGAAGACACCACCAAAAACGACCTATATATTGAGCAAAATATTCTAAAGTACACGTTTTATTGGATTCATCAACCAAAAGAGGAAAAGAAGAAGCTGCTAATGAAATAAATATAGAATATAATCCATTTTTGACGTATTCAGGAGTTAATAATGGAATAGAATAATTTCCAAGAAATTCCATACCGTAAGGAAGTCGAAAACCCAAAGTTTGAACTATAATTTTATCGTTTTCTATAAGAGTTTCCACCATCGCCGTTTTTTCAAGGTCAATCAAAGTTTGAATACCTGATTTAATAATCAATTGAACTTCTTGTTTAAAATATAAGATAATAGTTATAGCACTTGAAATAATATGTCGCTCACCATATTCCAAATCTCCGTTAATTAGACGAACATACTCTTCTGCAATATCTTTTAAACGTTTTAAATAGGCATTGATTCCCAAACTACCAGAAATAGAAAGAGATTCACGCAAATCTCGATTATGAATAATACGAAGTGCAATATCAATAAACTGTACACATGAACCACGCAACCAAGTCATTGGATCCACATGATAATGACTTTCAATAGTAGTTTCTAATTCATGAAGGAATGAAGAACGTAACGTTTTCTCAAATGTATTCATCCAACGTTCAATAGGAACAGGTGATAAAGAAATAGAATTTTCTGCTTTAAGTATTGCACCATCAGCTGTTAAAAATGCTGTAACTGCGTTACCTTCAACTTTAATATTACATACACGATCATACATCTTTGAAAGTAACTGCGTTAATGTTGTAGTATTAAGTACCGAAAGGAAAGAATTCATCTCTGTATCACTAAGAAAATAAAACCGTGGAAAAGCTTCTCGTTTGGCTTCAAATAAACCTGTTATAACCCTTCGCATATCACCCAATATTGTACATGCTAAAGAAAGTTGTTCTTGTATATTTTCTTGCATCATGGCAGTAAATAAGGTGTACTGAGCTTTTTGTAAAGTAGTAGATAAAACAGTAAAAATACCACTTAATGATCCTACTTTTTCATGTAAAAATTTCCACTCTCGAGAACCCATAGCAGGGGTTTCACCTTCCTCTATTGATTCAAGAGTTATACCAAACCGTAATTTTTCAATCCATTCCTCCTCAATATCTTTCCAATTTAACAATATTCCACGCATTTTCTCTACAGCAACCTCCCATTCATTAATTGAATTAACTACATATTGGCTTAAAGAAACAGGCTGACGCAAAACCCTTAACTCAGTTAAAAAAGATTCCAATTTAGAATATATAGAATCTCTACATATAGGAGATAAAACAAAAACATCTTTAACTCCTTCAAGTTGTTCAAATACAAAACGTGTCTTTTTAGCCTCACTTTTCATTCGTTCCAAAGAACTTTCAGTATTAAAATCAATAAGAGCAGGATCTACCACTCGTCTTAACTCATCAAGATGATTTTGAAGTCCAGCTTCAAGTAAAAATTTTAAAGTTACACTTGAATCTATAGATGTATTTTCATTTGATTGAATATTAAGTAAACGTGCAATTTCTTTCCAATGATTTTTTCGAAGACCAGGAGTCGTAATACACAAAAGAATACCTTCTAAAGATTCAAATTCACTCAATACTTGTTCCTGTTGACGACCAAGTCTTACTAATCCTGGATATGCTCGGAGATTACGCGTTGAAGAGTGCAAAAGTCTTCGACATTGCTGAACATTTTCGATCATCTTAGTAGCATCAAGATTATTAACAGAATTTCCATAATAATCTCTAACTGCAGTAGAATCAAAAACAGAACCCCAAAATTGTTCTAATACCTCGAACGCAGTTAATATAGGAAAAAAATCATTAAAAGAATCAACTTCTTCAATCTCTAAACATTTTTCACAATATGAAATATACTTAATTGCTTCAAGAACTTGATTAACAATAACGCGTAGTTCCTCACAAGTTTGAGCAGCTATATCAGAAACATCAAGATTAAAAAAACTTAAAAGTTCATCCACACCATCATGTATAGTTTTTACTTGATTACGAGTACTATTTCGAAATTCATTTAATTTTTCTTCTAAAAAAGGTTTGCTTTTAATGCATATTTCTTCAGCTTTTGAAACTAAATTCATTAATTCATTAGGAGAACGCATAAGTTCCATAGCAGCGCCATAGAGTTGAGTATCTATGGGTATTCGAAGATTTTCCAAACAATTAAACCACTTAATAACCCGTTTACAATCATTCTTTTTAACTTCTTTAGAGAGAGATTCAGTATCTTTAATAGCACGAGTTAATTCCTCTAATTCTTCAACAGTTTGAGGTTCTTTTTTAAAACGTTCGTTATTACAACGACACTTCTCAACTGAAGCAGTCAAATAAGAGAAAAGATCTTTTCGAATTGATTTTAAATAATTTTCAATATAACGAGTCCATTGTTCTATATACCATCTTTTAACTTCAATACAGTTAATAGCAATACAACCACAATAGACAATATCCGGGGAAACCTTAGCTATACTTTCAAGCCCATCATGAAGTAATCGAATTTGTGATTCAATAGTTGTTTCTTTAGCACGAGTAAAACAAGTTCCTGAAATTGCTGGTAAAGTTGAAAACCCTGCATATCGTGTTCTTAAATCTTCAATTACAGATCCTGCAGAATCAAGACATCCTATTAATATTGTTTTCATAGATAATTCTGATGATTCAAAAGAATTTAATGATTGTCTTTCAAAATCAAGAGTTCGCATAATAACCGCCTCTGGAGTAGGAAGACTGTTTGCGCTATCAAGTAACTCATCTAATAGATCCGAAATTCCAAAACGAAGTTGAGCAAAAGAAGGTGAACATGGTAATCCAGTTCCACCTACAGTAAGGGATACTTCAAGCACAGGAATTTTTCGCGCTTTTGCAGGGGATATAAGATGTTCTCCAGCAATCAAAAAAAATTTCACCAAATCCCCAACTGCTTCTAAAATAAGTGATCTGATTTTGTTTACAAGAAAAACACGTGTAGCTAAAAAAATACGTTTTAACTCATTTTCCTTCAAAGTTTCCATATTTAATGAAAGAAAATTCTTAGAACCACGAATGCGGTCAAATAATATACATTCCAGTTGAGTATAAAACTCAATTCTAATTCGAGTAAAAGCAGCTCTCATTGAAGATAATAACTGAGTAAGAAAGACATTAGCGTCTGTTTTCCAACTAGAAGTTGTTGTATCAAATACAACAAGTCTATCAAACCGATTAACCCATAATTCTTGAAGTCCTGTAAAAAAATGATGAGTTCTTTCACTCCAAGGTAATGAAACCTTTAAAGAAGAAATTGATGATTTAAAGAGTAAAACTCTACCAAAACGATCTTCACCACAGGTTATCCCTCTTTCAGAATAGGTTATTTGACTACTTTCTGATTCATTTAAACACAAAGGTGATATAATTTGACGAAAAAGCGAATTTTTATTCATATAATAATATATAGCATAACAAGAAGCCCTAACATAAACTCTTTTAATTTCGGTAATAACATCTTCAATAATATTTTTGTACTCTGGAGAGGTACCTTGAGTAGCTAAAATAACTATACGTCTAAGACTTTCGTTATCAAGGCGTAAAAAACTTTCCGCAGGTTTTTCATATAGATCTATAAGTAATGAAGTACGTAGATCCCTATCTGACTGTGATGTTATTAATCCAGGTTGCTCGCAAGTTTCAATAGGAATTCTTACACTATGTTGCCTAAAATCAGATGGCAGATTTCGAAAAGGCTCAACTTTCCCATCAAATCGAAACGCTCCTACATATGGAGAATAATGAGATCCAATTCTTCCACTTGGGGATGAAAAATCATGTTGATATAGACAAATAGCATCGAAAAGCTGACTTTCCTCAAAATGAGGAAAGTAAATTGGCCTTGTCTGACCAGTGTAGTCAGGTGAAAACCCAAAAAAACTAAACTCAAAAGTCACACCATACTCTACATCTGAGGCCACACGAAAAAAAGGTTTTGGAATTCCATCTAAAAAAAAAGATATGACCTTCTCGAAACGGAGGGCCACACTATTTTCACGCTGCAAGCTCATAATACTATCATTTTTTTTTTTTTTTAGTTTTCAGTTGTGGCAATAAGCAGATAAGAGAGCAAAAAAAAAAAGAGAAGAAAACAATAAGTATCTCGGAAACAGCTAACCTTAAAAAAAAAAAAAAAAAAACATCAGAGCATACTCATATCCAAAAATAATAATAATAATAATAATAATAATAATAATAATAATAATGATGATAATAATAATAACAATAATAATAATAATAATAATAATAATAATAATAATAATAATAATAATAATAATAATAAAAAGAAAATAAATTGAAGACCGTATTTATGAATCCCTGAGTTTTTTAAAATCAAAACGATGCTCTGCACATTGTTTTAATTGATCAGTTACAAACTGCAACCATGCGAGTTGTGTAACTCCCTCTTCACAGTGATGAGCACTTATTCGCTTTAATTCATACTCATAATCCTCCATCATGTTACATATTCGGTTTCTCATAAGCATACCACGGCAAGTGTAAACGATACCATAAAGAACAATACCCATACTAATAGCTGGTGGCAACGGTCTGGCGTAATACATACTATTTTTAAAAATATGACGTGGGCCCCAAAACTTAAATACCAGCATTGCACTTACTGTTGAAAATGTCACGCATCCAATAAAGTAATGCCAAGCCTTTCCTTGGTGTCGGGCTAATTTTTCTACACGTTCGGCAACATGACACCTTTGGGAGCGACTTATCTCAGCAACATACTTAGAAAACTCCCGTTCATGATCCGATGACATTGCTTAACGAGAGCAATATAAAATTAAAAATAAAAAAAAATAAAATGCTACCCTTTCTACTGATACAAGCACTGAATCAGATAAAACAGGTACGAGAAACAAAAACAAAGAAACAAACACGGAGATCCAAAATATATATATATATATA